CTGAGTGGAGTCTTCTTTATGTGAATGGCTCTGATATTTTTATGTTTGAAATTGCCTTTTGGGTTTTAAAGTGCCAGTCAGTGGAGTTCTTTTTCATGGACTCTAGGACTTCACTGAACATCTCTTGACTTGAGCAATTACTCTTCTGTCTTTATACAGAGGATCACCAATAGTGCATGAGTATGCAGGAGACGGAGAGCAGCTGTTGTCTGATAGGACAGAATATGGAAATCCCAGTGGTAGAAAAGTGTGGATCCCAAGTAACTCGAGGGCAATAGGCTGGAGAGGACCAGTCAGGTGACAGTCATGGGTCAATATACCAATCTGTGCCTGGGACTACAGTTCCCATGACTCCAGCAGGTGGCTGGGCTGGTGTGCAAATGAGTGCCTGCAGTCAGAAAGGCTGGAGACCTCAAGCTGCGCAGGGGATGCTGAGCAACCACGTGGGCAGTGGGATCCTGATTGCTTTCTCTCCCCATTGCCCACACAAATGGCGGCTGCCTCTGTGCTGCTCAGCTTTCCTGAGTTTGTTTCTGAGCCTCCAGTCAAGGCAGCTCTCCCTGGACAGCTGGTGTCCAGTTTTCAGAGTGTTCTTAGCTGCCCAGCCAATGTCTTTATTTCCCATAATGTGAGGACACCATCTCTAATTCCTGCTGTGGGCTGCTGTAGGCAGGGAAAGCAAATTCAAGCAGGATTCAATCTGATGTCCCCGGGCCATGACTAATTTTCCTACAGAAATCTGTCCGTCATTCCTAAGTGCTCTGGAAAGAAGGGCTAACCATGCCTTACGTTATTTGGGAGGGAGACAGAGACAAACAGGCAGAGATAGAGACAGAGAGAACAGAAATTGCTATGCTTTTGTCTCTTTTTAGCCTGGCTCATCTAATGTTACAGGTTAAAATCTGAGTCCAGGCAGGCACGGCTGCCAGGCATTCCCAGGTATACTTTTCAGATATCCAAGTCATTGTGTCCAGCATCAATGAACTGGGCCAGGGTCACATGATTAGAAACAGAAATAGAGACATTTCATTAAAGAAGTTTGAAAATTAGAAAGGACTAGTGAGATGAGGGATAAACCCAAAGAGCACTGGGCCACGAAACTCATATCCTTTACATGGCATGAACAAAGAGCCCTGACTCTTCTCCAGGTTGGTACATCATGGACATTTTGAGCATCCTCTCTTCGTTACTTGAAGCCCAGGAAAGGAAGTTCCGCCAGAGTTTCTCTGCAAACAGGCTTCATTGATGGTTATTGCTGCTGCTCTCTCTTTGGCGCCCGATCTCAAGCTACTCTCCATAAGATCTGAAATGTCATAAGAAAGGAAGGGGGAAGCATCACAATTTCTTCCCTAGGAGATTTAAAATAGCACAGGGCAGATTGCTCAGTGTGTAAAGGTCTTGCCAAGCAAGCACGAGGATTGCAACCCCAGTGCTGTTACTGAGAGAAGAACAAGAAACCACCGTCTGTCCTTCCCAAAGAACCAGAAGGTGAAGCACAGTGTAACATGCTGTCCTCTGACCTTCATATGCATGCCTTGGCTGTAGCACGCCTTACACACACACGCACACACTCACACACACATACACACACATCCACACGTGCATACACACACACACACACACACACACACACACACACGTGCACCCAATGTAAATGTCACATGAAAAGGAGTACTGAGGAAAGGACAGAGTTTAAACAAGATCCTAAAACACCGTTAAATATTGATAAATATGACTTCTTTGTATATTTGATTTTGCTTTTCTTAATCTTCCAAATAATTTTTTATTTTTGAGATTATGATTTAATTGCATTTTTGAGATTATGATTTAATTATATTTTCCTTCCCTTCCCTTTTTGCTTTCTCCTCCTTGAAATCCCCACGCAATACTCTTCTTTTCTTGTTTAAAAATCCATGACCTCTGTTTTCATTAAATGTTACTGCAATCACACACACACACACACACACACACACACACACACGCACATTCAGAGTTCATGGCACAGACAGGAAAGACTGCACGGTGATGGAGTAGGATTGTGGCCTCTGCAAGTCAGGAAGAAATACCTGCTAGGGGAGAGGCTATAGGGGCAGGCAATGTAATCTGAGATTTATAACTAGCTAAGACGAATCAAAGACAAAAACAAAACAACAAAAACAAAAACCCACCAAAGTTCTCTTCTTGTGTAAGCCACTGGGTCCATTGAATTCTCTCTTTTATGCTTTTGTTTGTTTGTTTGTTTTTGTTTTTCAATACAGAGTTTCTCTGTGTAGCCTTGGCTGTCCTAGAACTTGCTTTGTAGAACTTGATTTGTAGCCTTGAACTCACAGAGATCAGTCTGCCTCTGCCTCCTGAGTGTTGGGATTAAAGTTGCGCCATTGGATTATCTTATAGAGCTGAGGCAGAAGGACTCAACTATACATTCAGTGTGTTGTCTCTTAGGTCTTTTTGTAACCCTATCTCCCATGGTATAGATTCTTACAGGGGAACTCATGCTAGTACGTGTGTTGATTATTTTAGGTTGCAGTGAGGCCAATCCTGTTTTCAAATCTGGTTTTATTATTGGAAGGATCTTTAAAAATATATCATAGAATGTGGGGAGGGGGTAAAGACTTCATGTCAAAAAAAAATGTGATTTTCCTATGATAGGGATTGCATCTAATCTAATCTGTGATTATTTGAGTAGTTGGTCTTACTGAGAAGCTGAAAGCAGTGTGCCTTCTTAGGGCACATAGTCCCATTTTGCACAGATTTAGAAATGGACTGAAAAGGGGGCTCCAGTATAATTTATTGCAAATTATCTCTTCAGCCAGACTGAAGGTAAACTTGACTTTCCAGGGCAGATCATTGGCCTGATCTATGACCTCCCCAACTACAATAGCTCTCAATGGAGGGTACACAGGTAGGTCTCCACCTTTGGTAGATCTTCTAACATGGGCTAGGAGGGAACAGCTTTCCTTCATGGGCCTTTAATGAGTCATATGAATGCTGCCCCACCTCATTAGTATGGATTTTCATTCCATCGCTTCCCATTTTAATGTCTTTTAAATAATTTCACAGTTTACGGTTCATTCTGTATGTCGACCTTTTATGATACCTTGGGCAAAATCGACCCTTCTCCAACTGTCTCCCACATTCTCTGCTGCAGTGACTGATGTCCACAAATTCAACTGCCCTTCTTGGGTCATTTTTCCACTTACATTACATTCTTGAAATGGCTAATTACAGAGATAGTGACAATGTTTACAATTACTAAGGCTAAAAGTGTGTGGGGCTTGAGGCTATAGGTGTGCCCAGAAAGGATAGCAGGAAGTGGAGGCAGGGGTGATGGAAGATCATGAGGCTGCTGAGAGACTTCAGTTCCAAAGGTTTGATGATTAAGGAGACAAATGACAGCTTCCATATATGGTTGAAGCAACCTCTGTTTTCTAACCTGTTCTTTTACTACCGTTGCATAAGGTATACATATTGAAAGAACCTGGAGAAAGAGAAGTCAGGGTTTGCACTGACTCGGAATCTTTCCATGGTTCTATAGTTTCTACAGGTAAAAAAGGCAAACATAATTTTGGCCAAACATCACATCAATTCAGTCATCGTCCTTGTCCTATTCCATGCACTAGACGGTCCTCAAGTCAATAATGTTCAGGGAACTTCTGCATTTAAACTAGTGTCGTGCAGAGGAAATAGGATTTGAGCTAGAGAGGTTTGTAGACTAAGGTGACTTTAATCCAGGACCCACTGAGTCAACGCTCACAGTCACACAAAACTTCCATTGATCAGTGGTGCTATGTTCGGCTCTTACAGTCTGCAGAACTGATGCTAATGCACCACAGAAGGGGACTTCAGAAAGAGTCACTGTGGGATTATAAGTGGAACCTTCACTGAGAGAAGAAGACAAGGTTTCTATAGGTCAGTGGTTTTCAACCTGTGGGTCACGCTCCATCTGGGGCATACTCCAGGTGGAGCATGACCCAGATTTACATTATGATTCATAACAGGAGCAAAATTATAGTTATAAGATGGCAACAAAATTATTTTATGGTTGGGGGTCACTACAAGATGAGGAACTGTAAAAAATGGTTGCAGCATTAGGAAGGTTAGGAAACACTATGGTTTAGCTTAAGAGGAACCTGGAAGAGGAGGCCATCAATGGTGCCTAGTGTAATCTCCATTGTAATCTCCATAGCATTTATAGATGGAGGCATGGGGTACCGGGGAGCTAACCTGATCCATGAAGTATCTAGATGACTGTTTGATGACTATCTGTTTCCATTGGCTCACCCTTTGGGACAGGATGGTAGTTTGCTCTGTTATGGGCAATACAAGGTAGCACACCTGTATTCTACTATTTTTGGCATTGTAGATGTCACATGAAAAGATGACCTAATGTAATAAAAACTCAGAAGTCAGAAATTGAGTTAAAAACCTGAAAGACACCAAGAAAACTGAGTAATTGACTGCCCCTCTCTCCACCTTTTCCAGACTCTCAAGCCCTGAAAATTCCCCCCAAACCTCCAAAGGTTGGTGGTGTTTTTTCTGGTCCTCTCGAGCCACACTGCCATGACTTTTCCTCAATACTGAGTGTTGAACCCATGGACAGGTCCTATTTAGGTCAGTTCAGGTGGCAGGCACTTGTGCACATTGTCCTCAAAGACATAAGTATAGGGGAAATAGTTTTGTAGAGTTCCAAACCTTAGGACAGGAGTCTGACATGTATGCTTGTGTGTCTATACTTGTGTGACCATGTCCAGTTACGACTGAAAGGAGTAACTTGCAGGCTAAGTCTGTAAGTACAAGTACATAGACATGCATGAACAAGGAGTCTCTGGCAGTTCTCATAAATGGACCTGAGAGACTGATGTGAAAAATATTGAGAAATTCTAAAGAAACAAAATGTCACACTTCCAGAAGAGAAGCAAGAATGTTGTAAAATGTGTTTTCCATGGCGTCAGTTTCTGGCTGTGTCTCACATAACCAATCATCCTGCTTCTTTCTTGCAGAGAGAATGCTGGTGCTGATCAGGTCAAGAAGAATCTGCTTCAACTGAAATGTCACTTCACATGGAATTTGCTGTTTGAAGACAGTGACATACCTGGTTTGAAAATGAGAATCTCGGAGCAGGTCGAGTTCCTAGACATCATGAGCAGAGTGAGGATGCACAACCTCCTGGCCTACGTGAAACACCTGACAGGTCAGCATGAAGAAGCCCTGCAGAGCCTGAAAGAAGCAGAAGCCTTGGCCCAGAGAGAGCAGTTGGGCAAGAGAAGCGTGGTGACCTGGGGCAACTGTGCCTGGGTGCATTACCACATGGGCACCTTGGCAGAAGCCCAGACCTACCTGGACAAGGTAGAGAATACTTGCAAGGAATTTGCAAGTCCCTTCCGCTACAGGATGGAATGTGCCGAGATGCACTGTGAGGAAGGCTGGGCCTTGCTGAAGTGTGGAGGACAGAATTATAGACGAGCCATGGCCTGCTTTGCAAAAGCTTTGGAAGCTGAGCCTGAAAACCCTGAATACAGCATTGGCTATGCCATCACCGCCTATCGTGAAGACTGTGATGACAATAATATTTCTCTGGAACCGCTGAGGAAGGCTGTCAGGTTAAATCCAGCAGATCCATATACTAAAGTTTATCTTGCCCTCAAACTTCAGGATGTAGGAGAAACAGAAGAAGCAGAAAGGCACATTGAAGAAGCCCTCAGCAGCAAATCCTGTCAAACCTATGTCTTTCGTTATGCAGCCAAGTATTACCGAAGGAAGCGCTGCACAGACAAAGCTCTCCAACTCCTACACAAGGCCTTGCAGACATCACCTGACTCTGGCTACCTGCATTACCAAATAGGGCTCTGTTATAGGGAACAAATGATCCAACTGAAGACATCCAGAAACAAACAGTCCAGAAGGCAGAGCAATATGAATGAAATGGCCCAACGGGCCATTTCTGAATTTCAAAAGACTGTGGAACTGAAGCCCACGTTTGAGATGGCTTATGTTTGCATGGCTGAAGTTCAGGCAGAAATTCGCCAATATGAAGAAGCTGAGGCAAATTTCCAGATGGCGCTGAACATGAAGAACCTTCCGGGTCACTTAGAGCAAGACATTCATTTCCGCTATGGCCGTTACCAGCTATTTCATCAAAATTCAGAAGACAAGGCGATCACCCACTACTTAAAAGGTCTAAAAATAGAAGAAACGTCCTATGCCCAGAGGAAACTACTCCAAGCTTTGGAGAAAGTGGCTGACAGATGGGTTAAAAATAAAGTTCGACCTGTGGAAAGCACCAGCCTCCTTGGGTTAGTCCACAAGCTGAAAGGGAACATACCCAAGGCCCTGATGTACTACGAGAAGGCTCTGAGGCTCACTGGGGAGTTGAACCCTGAGTTCTGAATGCAGCTCACCTCTGCAAAGATAATGTACTCGTCACTGAGATTCCATCCCTCCTGCTTTCCCCAGAACTGCATACTTGCTGGAATCCAAGTACCTAAATGCATTGACTCCTGCCACTTCTTTCCCATTTTCTCATTGTCCTTTCTAGAAGGAACTTCTGTCCACACTATACCTGCTCACTTAATGGCCAGGACTGACTCCTGCTGTTCTCGACCCTTCGAGCCCTGTCACAAACCTTTTTCCTTGTGTCTGTGCTGTGACAAAGAAAGTCTTCATTGTCTGCCTGCTAGTGTCCTAGACAAAGAAGTCTTCTCAATTAGGATTCATTTTAGGTCATCAGAAACACTTACATTAGTACAACCTCAGAGCAAAAGAGATGAACAAGAAAGAGGGTTTGAAAGCGGGAGAGGTCTCCCAGTCTTGGGCATTTGGAAGAACCAAGAAGACTTTTAGCTAATTAGTGAAATACAAGGAAAGTCCTTTTTCGGTGGCATAGCCTGAAAATTATATAAATACCTTCATTCAATAGTTGTTTGCTAAAAATATCAAGTTAAAGCAACTGCAATAACAAATTTGTTATGTTTTGTTGATGACATTTTAAAAGATGCAATTGTCTATTTGCATAGTATCTTGGATATCTTTTATTCTCAGCTTGATACTTGTTGGAGTCATCTGGAAAGAACTGTCTCCATCAGAATGACGTATGGGCATCTTGTATGATTTTTTTTCTTGCTTCTCACCTGCTGTTGGATGACCTGTTCCACAGTGGGTGGGTTCATCCCTAGGCCTGTGGCCCTGGTCTCTATAAGATGTCTAGCTGTGTATTTACTAGTAGGTAAACCAGCAAGCAGAATTCTTCCATGATTTCTGTTCAATTTCCTGCCTTGACTTCTTCCCCTGGGTTTCTTCAGTAATGGATTCTGATCTTTAAATTTAAGTCAAATAAACATTTTTCCCCAAGTTGTTTTTGGATATGGTTTTCATCACAGCAATAGAACACATAAGGTCATGCAACAGCAACAGCAATGAATGGAACAGTAGCAGCCATGGAGAAAAAGAAGGTGTATGCATATAAACACTGTCCGGTGGTTGAGTGTGTGCGTGTGTGTGTGTAAATGAGAGCTAATTGTTTACTTCTCTATGTCATGAATTGCAAGGGTGATTAATGCCACCATCATCCCTAAGGGTTGGCATTTATGAATGTCAGAGTCAGATGCTAGGGACAGGCTGATCTGGATCATTCACACAACACCTGAGACACGCACAGCTGAAAACTGTCTTCAGATTGGCACATGATAAGACAAGAACATGTTTATTAAGTACAAGCATGGGAAATAACTCGTGTACTCCCAGAAGGCTCATGTCACGGTTGACTACTAAGTCTACAAATGAAGTGGGAGAGATACCATGGTTGAAGGAAGGGAGAGAGAGTGGGTCCTGAAAAATTTACTAACCAGCCAGTCTGAGAAGATAGCACACCTCTCTTTCTAGGACCATTTTTCTCTTGCTCCAAGGGAAACTTTTGCATGATTTCTCAAAGAAAGACACTCAGGTTAAAGAGGGAGGCCCCTTGTGTTTCTGTTTCAAACAGGATTATTTTGAAGGGTTAGTATCTTATCTCCTTCACATAGATCCACAGAACTGAGGTCTTCAGCAGGATCCGAAGAAGACATTAGTAATAAAGGTGTCTGCTCATAGTGAAGCGGCTGATGGCTGATGCTTTGTATAGTTTATAAACTGGTTTTCCAGCCATCTCCCTTCCATTTGAGGATTTTTTCGTAATGTGTAACTAGGAGGAGCTTAGGATGGGTGAGCTTGTGTGTTCCTGGCTAACATTAGTGTATAGTTAATTTACAGAGCACAGATTTCAGGAGATAGTGAATCCTTAAGGAATGAAGACTTAGTCTTACAAGGAGGAATTTCTGAGAATGGGGCCTCCATGGTAGGAAGGTTTATAGGATTGAATCATATATAATCTTAATACAAACAAACAAAAAAAGCCAGGATTTTAGCTTGATAGTGGTGGAGCATGAAGGTGCATCTCTGTGAGTTCAAGGCCAGCCTGAACTACAGAGTGAGTTTCAGGATAGTCAGGGCTACACACAGAGAAACCCTGTCTTGAAAAAGACAAAACAATTAAAAAAAAAAGGGGGGGGTCTTGCTATGTAACTTGGGTTAGCCTTGAACCTGCATTCCTGCCTTAGCTTCCAGAGTCCTGGGTTAAGGAAAGGAAGGGATGTAAAGACATACATGTCTTGCTTCATACACAGTCCACATTTTTGTTTTGATATTTACTCTGTGTGTGTGTGTGTGTGTGTGTGTGTGTGTGTGTGTGTGTGTGTGCACGCGTGCGTGCATTCCATGACATGCATATGGAGGTCAGAAGACAATTTTCAATTGGCCGTTATCTTCCACACTGACAGGCTCTCTCATTTCTGCTGCTGGGAAGTGTAGCCCAGGATAAATTCCCTACAAGTTTCAGGCCACATCTGTTTTCCCTTACTCCCATCTTGCTGTAGGATCACTGAGGCTGCAGATCTGTGGCACTATACCTAGTTCTTGGGCTTTCACAGCTGTGGTTTTTTTTAAAAAAAGAAAGATTTATTTATTTATTAAGTATACAGTGGTCTGCCTGCATATGTCCCTGCAGGGCAGAAGAGGGCACCGGATCTCATTACAGATGGTTGTGAGCCACCATGTGGTTGCTGGGAATTGAACTCAGGACCTTTCTAAGTGCAGCCAGTGTCCTTCACCTCTGAGCCATCTCTCCAGCCCCCACAGCTATGTTTTTAGCCCCCACCATTGTGCCACCCACACTGGGGAGCACCTCCTTGCTCGTACTTATTATTTCAGCTGTTTGGGGGTTCATTTGCTCTTCTTTCTCCCCTCAGGGTCTAGTGTATCCTTTGTTAGCCAGATTCTTTTCACACAGAATTGGGTGGAGGAGACTTTTAATCTTTTGGGCGAAGTCCCAGAGTGAATACTGCGCTTACCAGTCACTACAATTTGGACCAGGGAAAAACATAGAAACCGGAGCCGTAGAGGATGTGTACCTCTCCACGTATATCGAAGTAAAACCATGAAAAAGTAAATGAAATTTAGTACTACTTCTCTGTGAGGAAAAGTAATACAGCACTGAAACCTTTGTGCCTTAATCCTCACACACACACACACACTTACTTTATTTTTAAAGATTTATTCATTTTTATTTTATGTATCTGGGTCTTTGCCTGCATGTACATACGTGGACCACATATGCTCTTGGTGCCTGCAAAGCCCCAAAGAGGACATCGGCTCCCCTGAGACTGGAGTTCCAGAGGGTTGTGAGCTGCCATGTGGGTGCTAGGGACTGGACTCTGGTCCTCTGCACTCAAGCAGCGAGCACTCTTAACTACTGAGTCATGCCCCTAGCCCTCAAGCAGCATCTTTTAAGTCGTGAAACCCACTCACGGGTTTCTGAAGCATGAATCCTTGCTGAATGTCCTAGACAATATCACTCATAACCTCGAAGTCCTGAAAGAATCTGTGTTCGTCTAAATTGACTTCATTTTGTTTTGTTTTGTTTTTTCCCCTTTGTTTTGTATTTGATGTGGACGAGTGTTTTGCCTGCAAGTAAGAACGTCTGTGTGGCACACGTGTGCAATGCCCCTGGAGCCAGAAGAGGATGTCAGCGTCCCTGGGGATTGAGTAAAAGACAGCTGTGAGTTGCCATGGAGATGTTGAAAATCAAATCCTGGTCCTTCGGAAGAGCAACCACTACTGAGCCGTTTCTCCAGTTCCTAAATCAAGCTTTTTTTTTTTTTTGCGTGTTTGTTAATTAATTTATTTATTTTACATCTCAGCCTCAGTTTCAAGGTTTTATCTGGAAGTCCTGGAGGTGTTGTAGGGTGACTGTCAGGGCCAAATTAAATCACTACTTAAAAATTTTTGTAAAACCAGCTAGGTGGGTGCCCTTCTGAGCTTCCCTGCTATAATATTATTTTAAATGTGTAGTCCTATGTGGTGTCTTTAGTTCAGTACGCATAAGTAGTAAGTTTCTAGTCCTTCCTAGCATGCTTTTTGCCCAGAGTTCAGGTTTTACTTTTTATAAAATTTTGAAGACAGTTATTCTTAAATTTGTTGCTCCCTTCCCACAGGGGATTATCTATAACTGTAAAGAATGTCCTGGAAGAGCCTGCTTATCTTGTTATCCTGAGGAAAAGTTTTAACAATCATTTAGTTTGTCTGGGGGGGCGGGGAATTTGCCATGCAAAGACAGCTGTATTTTAAAGTGATATCGCCTGACTGACATTGTGGTCCCCATGAGAATCCTGAAGGAAATTTAAATGGGTTGGACCAAATCTGTAGGAGCTCCAAGGCCTCCCTAGTCCTCATCCAAGCTTTCTTCTATTCCCAACATTTACAGAACAGGTCTTTTATTGAGAACTTCCCATTGTTTGGGGAGGGTAAAGGCAATCTGCTCGGTAAGTTTTTCTGGAGAAACATAAACATCTACTCATGTGTCAAATAAGGCACTATCAGCAGAGCCCAGAGTCTATTTAGAGAGCTGTTGAGGTTACTGGGGTTACAGGAGTGTGAGTGACTCAAAGGCACACCCCAGCATGGAGTTGCTTCTGTGGGCCTGCCTGTATCATTTGCCATCGGCACCACTGGGGCACTTATGTAACCTCAAAGGCAGGCCTCTCGAATCTCCAAGCACTCCGAGTTGTCTTCTGAGTCTTCTGAATGCCCCTCCTTTGTCTATGGGAAACTACAAAGCATGGCTGTTGGTCTAAAGGCCGTCTTCCTTAGGGTGCACTCAGTTTTACCTGATCCATACTCACCTTATGCCTGGGCCTTCTTCCTTTTCTTCCAGGTGCCAGGACAAAGGACGCCACTAGCATTTCACTTCTGGCTTTCAGCACTGCTCTTCATTGAGAAAAAACTTATGTATGGCAGCTACTAGTTTAAAGAAGCCCATTCCTTCTGGAGTGAGCATCATCTGTTCATCATCTCTTTCATTTATCTGGGTAGTTTGCCCTGACAGTCACATTTATCATATTTCAATCATTGGGTCTTCCTAACCCTAAAGCTGTACGAGAGTGGTAAGCATGGTAAGATTTCTCTCTACATTCAAGAGTCCCAATAGGCATCTTTCAAGACCTCTTCTCCTTCATTAAGATTTTTGTTTGGGGAGTCTCCGTCTCAATCCTACCAGAATAAATGGGGTAACCATTTAGTACAGCTTTCCCATCTGCTTTATGTGGGTCCTATTTGTGTCATCCTCTCCCTCCTATCCAGCTTTCTTTGAGGAAATAAAGAAAAGGTCTTGCTTGGCCTCCGGACCATCAGAGGACTCAACAGTCTTCCCATAACACTGTAACGTATCATAAAAGAATACACTTAAGGAAATTCCTTAATCTTTTTCTCTTCCAATAAAAATATAATTAAACATGCTGTTATAATTAAGTCGACCTTTCTCAAACCCCAAGGCATATTAGGGTCAGGCCACAATGCCACAAAATATCACCTATTTATTGGCCACAGGTCTATAACTATAAATCAGACTTAGTACCAGAGGACCCTCATTAGGAAAAGATAACACATCCCCCAATTTGACAAGTTGAAAAAATCACAACCATATAGAATGCATTAGTTATTTCGGTGCCCCAATAACAAAACACCTGCAACTTGAAGGAGGAAGGATTTGTTTTGGATCAGAGGGAAGAGTCCATCCTGACGGGACTGGTATGATGTGACCTCAAGGGGTGGCAAACAGAAACAAGGAGATCAGAGTCCATGACCAGTGACTCCTAGACTGATCAGGCTACCCAACTTCCCAAAACAGCATCGCCAACTGGGAGGGAGCAGGGTGGTCAAATATGTGATCCAGACAGAAGCATTTCACAAGCAAACCATCACACAGGCTAAATGTATTCAAGGAAGGGAAGATAAATAACAGTCTCTCTCTCTCTCTCTCT